AGGTTGCACCCATCGTTGCGCGAAGAGCCGAAGCAGTCAAAGGCCCAAATGTGCAGCGCGGCAGCGCGATGTTACTTGCTTTAAAGCGGCGTGCTTGCAGGAAAGCAAGAAGAAGAAGAAGAAGAAGAAGAGGAAGAAGAAGTCGTTTGGCTCCAGTAGCGCGTGGGCATAAGGTAGGTCTGGAGGTAGACTTTGAACCGGCGTCAGTAAGCGTGTTGCGGTAGGTGTTAGCGCTGGGTGTCTGATCGGAGGCATCGCCTGGCCAATTCGTTGTTTTTTACAATACAGTACATTCATTCACACCTTGAGATCTTCGAAGCGCATGTCGACTGCTCGCAGAATGCTGGGCACGAGCGGGCGCTCTTCTCGACCGCGCTCTTGTTGTGGCGTGGCGCCGCTAGAACTCTAGACCTCCAGGCCTCTACCCCACGACCTCCAAGTTTCCAGGCCCGACCTAAAGCTCCTCGATCTACTCTAGACCTCCACCCTAGTACACCTTTCAAACTCTGGGCCTCACCTTCAGACAAGTACAATTCTATGCCTTCTAGGCCTAGAGCCCCAAGACTTCTACGCCTCAAGATCTTCCAGAGCTACCTGCATTCTCCAGACCTCTACCTAGTCCCAAGACATGGATCTCAAGTTTTTAGTGTTCTCAAGATCTCTCCTGTTCTCTTTTCCCAAAAACGACCTCATCGCCTTCCATTTCCGGCTCTTTTTACTTTCTGTTCCTATCAACACTTTAGGGTCCAATAGAATCTGCAGGCAGCCGTTCTGTGAATAATACAATATATCCCCCACAGCACTTTCTACGACCATGGCTCTGTTCAGCCTCCTAACCCTCCCAAGCGTCCATAGAAAGCCACCGCTTTTTTTGCCTTAAAATGGTCCGGCAGTGGCAGAGTGCTTCACCACGTTGCTTTCTGACGCCGGTTTCAAAGTCTTCGACCATGCCCCTAATCACCTCCTACCCTTCGCAAGCGTCCGTGGAAATTGGCTTCGCGTTGCTGGCAGAGTCAGCGCATTACAGCGTAGCGCGTTGCTTTCTGACGCTCGTTTGGAGTCTACCTCCACTGTCTACCTTTTCGCATGGCTCAGGCCAGCTTCCCGCAAAAAACACGCCTGAACATGAAGCATTGCAAACATAACTTGAATTGAACAATACCTGCAGCATTGCTAACACAAAGCACTTGCACGCAGCAGCCGCTTTGCGCAAGCGCGCGCGCGTCACACAGAGTGCCCAAACAAAATTCCACATTCAACGAGAAGTTCAGCGGTTCAAGTACTATCAAATACTATCAATGTTCCCACTGCCACCGTGGCCGATCATCGCTGGGGTCGGCGGCGGCGGACATCTAGAGTTAAAATCCGGCGATGCCGTGCCGTTTTCCCTAGCAAGCTTTGCTTTGCTATATGGAGACGCGCCCCATGCCGACGCGCCCCATGCCGCCGACCTCTTTTCTAGCATCACCAGGGCTCATGTGGATTCGTCAAAAAACATCAAAAACACAGGGAAAATGATCAAAATGGCCACTGATGAAAAAGTAGCTTCCAAACCTCTAGAAAATAAAGCATTGAAAGTGGATACAAGCTTAGAGGAGAAACATTGGTCGAGCATCATTAGCATCAGCAGAGTCTCAGCAGGAAAGATGCAAATCATTTGGTGTACGAGTAGGCACAACACACTGTGAATTACAGGTTTTTGCAACATGTATGTAATTTATGAGCAATGCTGCTCGTACTCTGGTGATGCCACTGGTGCTCGACACAACTGCTACCTCAGAACTTCCTTTCCTCTTAGCATACTTTCTTCTCTAGAGATAAAGCTTTACAGTGACCATTTTTGATCATATTCACTGTGTTGTTGATGTTTTTCAAGTAAATGCACCTGGTGATGAAAAACATGTCGGTTTGCGGCCGACATTTCTAGCGCCGCCTGGGCTGACATGGTTTCTTCACATATTAGGACTTTGTAGTGAAAAACGCTGAACAAACTGTATTCTTGAACATTTTTATATAAACCTAAATCCTGATAAGAGCTTTGAGGGCTTGGGCTTGTGTGGATGTATTTCTTTACTTCTTTTCTTGGAGGTTCCATTTTTTTGTGTACCTTTCCGGCTCTTACAGAGCAGAATCTCCAAACAAATGCTAAAAAGTGTAACTTCCACCCAGCCCCCCCTTCAACGTCTGCTGCGAGACTTCCAAGGTGTGTTTCGGAAAACGGCCCCGCAAAAGGGTTTGAAAGTGTTTGAAAACAGGTTAGAAACAGAGCTCAGGCCCCTCAGAGGACCAGCCGTTTTCCAAGTCGATACGTACCTAAACTCTCAAGCCGTCCCCTACCCATACCTCACACCAACAAGACTTTCTCCATCGTGCCTCCGCTTAGTAGTAGTACAAGTAGTAGTAGTAGTAGTAGTAGT